AAGAGAAGAAAGCTTTTCAGATAAAATGCGTAGACCTAGTTTGTACTGTTATGTGCTCAACACTTAGTCAACATAATGATCTAAATTTGAAAAGAACATCAGAGACAATTCGTACTTTGTACACCATCTCCCCAGACTAAAAGTTAATCGGTAGAATTTTTACCAACCAACAAAACTACTTTACTTCAAGAGTGTAGGAACCTTTTCCAAACTAAATATTGTGGAGCATATATATATAAATCAAATGGCACAACTAAGCAAAATGGATGAAAGAATAATTAAAATAAATTTTAGAAGTCGTAAACTCTACTTCTGCCAGTGGTGTGCACAAAAAGAAAATATCAGTAGGGGATAGATGGACACAAAGGGTGGTGGGTAGCAAAAGTAGGAACTGTCAACTATATTTCAACATTGATGCATATCCAACCAGAAATTCCAGCACACATTTCAACATGGAATCAAGTTCAAAACTAGCCTACTAAAAATAATAAAAATAATTAATAGCAGGACCTTAATGCCACGGACTGATCTTGGGATTTTTCTGGAAAGCACCAAAGCTGAGTGGAGAAAGAGGTTGTGACTGCAACAGGGACAATATTTTCAGTAAATATGAAATATTTTCATAATGGGAGGACTTGTTGCAGATTGCAGAACATGTAAGAAACTTACGGCATAATCATAGCACCAAGGAGAGAAATTGCAAGACCAGTAGCACCATTTCCTTTAAGTTGAGGAACAAAAAGGCCCTCCAGAACTTCATTGGCAACAGGCTTTGCATAGCCAAGCTCCACAAAAAAGCATGTGGCAATGGTAAACACAAGAAAAGCAATAAAAAACTCAAGCTTCCTAACCTGAAAGGCAAAGAACCACAGGTCTCAGCTAATTGAAATCCTACGTTACCTTACAGCAGCAAATTCATATTTCTCTTAGATGAATTGACAAACAAAGTAGATTTCCTTCAATACTTTCATAAAGTCTGACAAACCACTAATTACACTGTAGACACAAAAGCATGTCTTGTCCAGAATAAATAAATGACCTACCCCATATTGCTGTAATGCTAGAAGGATCAATGTACTGAGACCTGTCAGAAGAACACCTATCCATACAGGGATCTTGAAGAGCATGTTTAATGCAAAAGCTGTACCAATAACTGGGCAAAAAAATATGGTGAATCAGAAAGCATTGAAGTCTTCATGTGATGACAATACCATGCTGAAGTAAAGGAACAGCTTAAATAGTTTGACAAAGGTAAGGTTGATAAAGGTATTTGATAATTTCTAAAAAAATAAATAAAGCTAATTAAAAGCAATGCTGCATGTTTCCTGACCATGATTTAATGGACTCAACATAACAGACATTTATCAGGGTTTGAATCCTTTGGTCAAATGGCCAAAAAAAGGAAAAAAAAAAAAAACCTGCAGTCAAATTTTCATCAAATAATTCATTACATATATTAGATTAAAAACACCATCATTTTTTTTCCCCAAGTTTTAAGCAAATAAGTTGTACATTCACCTTCAGGAATGTCACATGCCACAATTGCAATTTCTGCAAGAACCCATAAGATGACGTTTGGAACTCTTGGATACTCAGCTCTACAGTGCTCTGCTAAATGTTTCCCTACAATGATGAAAACATGTCAAATAACAGGCACTAACATCACCTATGTATCAAAAGAATATATCTGGTGAATTCAGCCAGATATGCAGAGGCAAGACATACCTGTGACAACACCCAGATTGGCAGCTAGGGACTGAATAATAAGAGCCGAGAATGAAGCCACTAATATGATCCAAAGTAACTGCAAGGTAAAAGAAATTACATTATGAAAGATACGAGCAGCAAATTAAAAAATTGTCAGAATATCAAATCAAGAAGAAAATTAATGTTTTCTTCCACATGACATCCTGTTTGTTCTATAAAACTAGACATAAGTGAAGAAGAAACTTTATCCATCTAGGAGCTCTCTAATGGCACAAATATTTTAAAATATATATTTTGGCACAATAATTTCATAACATGATACTCCTAGTGTCTCCTTGGAAAACAATAACTTGCGACAAATTTTTACAATGGAAAGTTGGGATAGAAGATAGAACACTCACACTATACTTGTATTGTGCTCCTGCCTGCAAATCAGTTTCAACTACAAGTTAACCACAATAGAGCAGAGGTTATTAATATGTGACCTAAGTAATATATGGTAGCAGAAAAGACATAACAAATACTAATCTTACAATTTCCAGGATCAATATATGCAATAGAAACGAGGAATCCAGGACCCATGTATGAGAATAAGTTTTTCCAACTTCTTCTCTGCATGATAAGATGTGGCAAATAAAAAATCACAGATTTTTACAAATACTTAATTACAATATCCAAGAAGTGTGGTAAATCCCAAACATCTAGCATGAAATTAACAACATCAAGAAGCATCCAGAAAAAAGGGGGTCAGAATTGATTTTTTTTTTTTTCTCTGGATATTCTGCATGTTTTACAGTCCCTTAACTTCTATCTCATCCTTTTATTTACAAACCAATAATGTCTTGTTCCGTGATTAATCACATGGGTTTTGTTTTTGTACAAGTTAAAAGCATCATAAAATAACAATACCACATTAAAATAAGGAATTACAATTATATTAGCAATACACTCTGAACAACAGTTATGCTGACTGCAGAAGCTCTCTAGCATCAACACATTTTGTCACTAAATTCCAAAAGTCAGAGTTCATTGGTAATGAGAATCTAGGGAAGTAACATTTGGTGCCCATTTCATGTTGATATTATACAAGAAAAAATATTTTACCAACATTTTCTTACAACTTGTCTTACGTTATCCGAATCATTCTCTTTATGGCAGTACTTTATTGTCCTGGCATGGTCCACAAGCAAATCCAATATTTTTCCAAATGGAAAACTATGTGATAGACATCATTTTTCAGAAGAACGTTTGCATTTCCTTTTCATTTAACTCGAAAAATACTCAATCTTTGGCCAAAGAAATAGTAAGTAATTATCTCCTCAACTTCCCCAACTACCATTAGAATAGATAAGCAAGAACTTAGTCAAGAGTAATTTTGCAGACTTATTCGCACCTTAATATTGTTAATATTATCATCTTCATAGCATCAAGCTTAAGTCCGACCACGTGACAATAGACCAAATCAAAACAACTACAGTAAACCTCATTTGGTGATAATACAGACAACCAACACACTGACCCCAGCATCTCATCTCATGTTAACTTTTTTTAAAACATAATAATAATAATAAAGCAGAAAGGGACAAGGAATTAGGAACCAAATCACCAACAGCAAGGTTAGATTAGTTTCATTTTTAAGAAGGAAAATTCAAGGAAAAGTGAATAAAGTGATTTTAGTGAGAAATGAAACTCACATCTGGCACTACAATCTGATCGGGATCTGCATCCTGTATGAGCGGCGCATTTGAGAAAGTCCGATTCCCAGTGCTAGCGATGAACTGCGGTTGCGAACAGTTCGAAGCCGCCATTGTTACTTCAACCCTCTTCACAAACACAGAGCTGGAAACAAGTTTTAGAGACAGAAAACAGACAGTTGAATTGAAACACTTTATCAGTAAATAAATTTAGAGGCAACACAATAAAGTGACTTTATTAATATTAAAAATTCCGCCAGCGGTTTCTCAAAGCAAGAATGCATGGAGAACGGAAGGATGATAGTTTTGGGATTAGCAAAGATGAATAAAATCATTTCAATTTTCTCGACGGCCAAACAGAGGAACGACGAACCTCAGCCTGAGAAAACTGGAGAAAAGCAAAGAGCTGCTGCCTCCTCAGTTTAGTAAACTTGCTTGCTTAAGAGGACCTACAACTTCACCTGTCTGCATATGAGGCTCTTATATATAGCTATTCCAGTGATGAAAAATGGAAAAATTTTGGTTAGCTGTTATTTGTTGAAACTAGCCTGGTCAAGTGGTAAGAGCCTTGGGATTGAGTTTTGCCACGTTACTAGACTAATGAGATACGAGAGTTTTGGGCATCTTAGGACCCACCTGTCGTACAAAATTGGATGGTTGAGACTTTTGTACTAGTAGCATTTATGCATTCCATTGTTCAGAGGACAGAAATACGAGATAAATTTAACTAATGAAAAGGGTAGTCGAAGGAAACACGACTAAATAATTTAATGATGCTCTTATTTTAATAAAAGTATAGTTTGAATTCAAATTGTATTGTATATAAGTGAGATGAGATAAAGGATGAAATAGAATTATTTTTTGTTATATAATTAATATAAAGAAATACATATGATAAGGGTAGATGAAACATTTAGAATTACTTTATATTATTAAATTAATTAATATATATAAAATTATGAATTTTTAGAAAATAAAAAAATTATTAAGTAATATAATATTTATTTTTTAATATTTTAAATGATATAAATTATATTAAATTATTAACTTTAAATTTTAATCTTAAATTTCAATTTTATTTATCATTATTCCACAAATTTATAGAACAGAAATCAGGACGTAATGATCATAATTTTTAAAATTTAAAACTGAAAAAAAAAAACTTGCCTAGGATGTTCTCAAATTCTCTAAAAATGTATTTACTTTAAAACTAATTTTTTTCATAAATTTAAGAATTTATTAAAGAAAAATTCAAAAATTAACTTTTAAAAATTTTTAAGTAATTTTTAAGAAAATTACACATTTAGATTTTCTTAAAATTTGATAAAAAATTATTTTAAAAACTAAATTTTAAATTTCCACAAACAAATTTTTAAATTTTTGAAAGAGAATTTATTGTTAAAGTAAATGTCTTTTAAAGTTTAAACTTTGACACTTTCATCATCTTTCCGTCAATTACCCCTCAAGGTAGGCAATGTCATGTAATGTCGCGTCACGAAAATCACATTTTTCTATCATATGGCAAATAATGTTACTGCCTTATTCTTAATTATTAATTTATATTTTTATTTTAATTAGTTATCATATTTTTAATTTGTTAAAAATTAAAAAATGAAAAAAAATAACATAAGCATATAATATGTAATTATATTTAAAATATATAATTTAATTATTTAAGATATGACAATAATCCTAATCTCCCATAACAAGTTAATTGTTTATTACGATATGCCCAACAATAATTAATTAGTAATTACAAAAAAAGGTACATGTCAAGATTTGAGTTTTGTTATTTTTTTATTTAAGAATATAAATTTGGTTGGACTTTAAATCAAACGATAAAGTTTTAATCTTTTTATTTAAAAATATTACCTTTGTGTTTTTTGTTATTTAAAGATGGATTGAATGACTAAAAATATTGTTTGTCATATCAATATCATTATCTAATCAATCTTTAAATAAAAAATTATAAAGTTGATATTTGTAAATATAAAAAGTAAAAAATTTTTCATTATGTTTAGAAACTAACAAAATTTGCATCATTAAATATAAAAAATAACAAAATTTGTATCATTATCCACCCCTTTTCTCTAATAATTACCAATCTATCTTAACATAATAATAACTAAATAGATTTTTAATATATAATTATTTTTTAATACAATTAAGTTGGGTTTAGATTACAATTCAAACTCAATTTTTGAGCTAACCACAAGTTAGATTTTTACTTAAACTGTAATCATTTACAACTCTAAACTCTATAAAACATTTGAACCCATTCCCGCCAATCCAAACCC